ATCATTAAGTTGTAATTATTTATATCCGTTCCTTTCTATGTAGTACTAATTTGTAGGGAGCATATTCTTCAGCTGAAATAGTTTTACCTCTGTGTTTACACTATTCTATGTATTCTAGCAACAAAATAAAAATTATAATTATGCGTCTGTTGTAAACACTGGAGGAGAACCTGGCAAGAGCTGGATGCCAGGTTCCTTCTACAGCTATTTTTGCTGTCACATGCTCTTCTATTTCTATACAAATATTTCAATTTTGCAGTCAATAACTATTTCTGGAATGACTTTTTCATTCCCATTTTGAATTTTCCTACCTATTTCAAATGACTTCAGGAAAATCTGACATACGAAGGATAATTTTACTTCTCTGGAAGATAAATTCATAGGAAATACAAATGAAAGATACATTCGCCCCCTTAAATTTTTAAATTATGAAGATGTTTCAAAAACTTCACAGCTAAATTGAGTCATAACTGATTGCATCAATAATCCAGTTTGAAATGGGTAGTAACTCTGTAAAAGTTCAAGAGAAATATGTGTTCAATTTTATGCTGTTTAAAGGAAGGGCTAATTGAGCCAAAGATCTGCCTTGAAACACTGGGTCTTATCCTCTTTATGCCACTTTTAAATCTTTAATAAGCATTTTAAATCTATAGTCAGTACTAAAGCTCAGAGCTCTAAAACAAGCGTAGTTATGAGAAAGCTATATAAATGTATTCACCTATTCACTTACACTACTTAAAACATGCCGAACTCAATGTTTCTGGGGCACGTTTAAACATCCAGTCTGGGAAGTCTCACAAGCCCAGACAATTAATTCAGCGACCAACGCGGATGAAAAGCTTGGCCAGCTATATACTGAGAGCCTGAAATTCCTTTACAGCTCAATGCCTTCTACTTTACGAATGTTACAGTTCAACAAGAAATAGCCCGAAGTTCCTTTATAGTCCTGTTTGGAACAATGTATGAAGAAACCCAGGGCAAAGACAAAGGAACTAAACATTCTACAAGTGAAAAGAACAGTAGTTATTTCTGAGCTGTGAGTGGCAATCCATTGTGGAGCTTCTCTGTTTCCAAAAGGCACTGAAGAATGAATAAGCTGCTTAAGCACATTATCCTGTTATTCAGGTCAACACCATGCAAACTGGGTCCCTGCTTTTTTTTTTTTTCAGTGTTCACACATCTTGAGAGATTAACATTTACTATCGGCTATTTCATGGCTTTCAAAACAGATCACTGGAGAGAAAGCTCTATACCACAATCAAGTGTGTCAAGTTGACATGATGATTAGGTACTTTTCCTCAATGACTTGGGTTCCTTTTGTTCCCCAGCTTGTTGTCAAAGCTTAAACTTAGATTTGTTCTTTTGGAAATCTAATCTCCTATGAAACATAAGTCTGCTTTTCCTGGTTAGTGGGTTTCTTACACATATTAAATGATACTGGAAAAGTTGACACTAGTTTATTTTTAGGCACACTTAATTTTAAGGCTGAAAAAACTACTAAAAAGTTGAGGTTTAGCAACATGGCAGAATTCAAGCTTTAAGCAAAATAAGAGTTTACAAGGAGAAAGGGCTTAATTGAGGTTCTGGTACTCAGAGGATCATATAGATCTACTTAAAATTAGCTGAGTAAAATAACAAAAAGTCCTTTGAAGAACCACCTGAGCATATTAAAACTGTAATGACTTTGAGGTTTTAAGAAAAAGGCAAGTCATTTATACCATCTTACTTGTGCACAATTATAGTAAAGAGATCAGCAAACCCTCAGAGTTCAGGCAAGGCTTGAGCTGTGCACCTGGCTCTAATTTAGCTACAAAAGCCAAAGCAGTGAGAAACAGAAAATTGCACACATATATACTTCATCAATAGAGAAAAAACATGCGGAAATGTCATCTATTCTCAAACTTGGCACCAGGAAATTTCTTTGGAACTTACATAATTTAGTGCACACTGGAGGTTCAGAACCCAGGGCTGCAAGATGCTGAGCCTCTCTACTCACAAAGACTTCAGCAAAGGGAGTCCAGACTTCTCAGTGCCACCTATAACATATTTGGTATACAGTGATGTTTCACAGCAGAAATTCCCCCAGTGCCATTAAAAATATCAAAACCCTTCATTTCTACAATGAGAAATAATATTCATTGGAGCCACAGTTATAAAACTAAAGGGAAACTACAGCTGTACGGAACACCAGCAGCTTTGAGAGAAAGATGTGCCACCTCCCAGAAATGAGAAACATTTCAGAGTACGATTGGTTTAATGAGGCATACAGCCACCAAGGAAAATGTAGGACCGTTGACACCTTTTCAACTGTTAATATTTGTATATGTTAAAACAGTCCAAATTCTTCCTGTGAGCTTCTTCTTTTCTCAGTTTTCTCAGGTTGGGGAAGGGCTTGTGAACACAGTGGAGTTTCTGTTCTCCAGAAATGTCAGACATTTCAAACAACTTTTTTGTTTCCACAGGACTGAAATTTCACGCTGTGTGAAACTTTTTTCAATAAAAGAGTTCATTGCTAAAAAATAACATTGAAGCTATGGGCATACCAACAGTTTCCATCAAAATTAATTGCGCAATAATCAATCTGCGTTCATTTAAATTTGCACTAACATGCTGAATCATGATTTTCTGCCCTGTAAGAACTGCTTACAGCTGCAAAGTGTTTTTAAGGCATTAGGAAGGCTGGATAAGATTTCAATTTGTATTAGACTATTATGACTATTTTCTTTGAACAAGCTTATTTTGAAGTCCAGCGCACATAACTTAAATGTGTATTAGATTCTTTGTTTGCAAATGCTGACTGAATTTTGGATGTCCGCAGTCCTGCAACTAACACTGACATTAGTTGGGTTTGAGGCTGTAGAATGCTTTGCAAAAAGAAACTTCATAATCAGGTAACATTTTTCTTTGAACTATACTGCCTCTTTTACATACTCACCAGTAAGAGATCAGGGCTCTTCCTACCTAAAGACAAGAACTTTGTCAACACATTTGCAAGGAACCTCTTGTGAAAGAAAAAAGGAGCTTTATCCTCTGTTTCTCCCCAGAAGGATACTTCATCTTTGGGATGAGCTAACATAAGTGCTAGCATCAGCTCACCCTTTCTCTAGACTTGCTGAACAGATAGGTACTGACTATAATACCACTGAATGATAATAGACATTTTCTCATCTGTAACCCTAAAAACATCACTAAAACCTGCCCTCCTGTCAGTCCAGAATTTAAAAGACTGTACCTTCATAATGTTTCTATGATATCAATCTTAAACAGTTGTTGAAAGAATAGTTTCTGTGGGAAAACATTAATAGCAGGAGTATTCTATGTATTTGATACAGTTTGAAATAACGATTCTATTGTTTTGCACTCCCGAGTTCACAGTTTTCAGTTAATTTGCCTTTAAAAAGGCTGCTCGATTCAGTCCAATTTGGTCTTTCTATCCATGAGGTTTTTATCTTCCAGTTTGATCTTTGCATCCTTTGCTTGCCTTTTGCTCAGGAAGCCTATTAATTTCTTAACCTGGAGAGGAATTAACAGTTGTAGCTTCAACTTACACAAACACTTAACCATACTGCTCATATTCTAGGGTTGGCTCCCACATGCACAGACTGCTTTGCCCAGCTGAGGAACTGTCAGTGCCAATGAACTTTAATTAAAAAACAACACTGTAATGGCTGGAAAGAATGCTTCATGGAGGAATCTTGTAAAAGGCTACAAAATTACCACAGTTTGTCCCCAAGCAAGAGGCTGCACAAAACCAGACTGAGCCAAGGACATTCTGTGGAGGCTTCCGGCATGTATCTCTGGCAACGAATAAAGAGCCCAGTGTGCAAGGGCTGTGGTCAGCCAGGCATGGTGTGTGCCGAGCAGGCTCCATCCCTACTGCCCTTGTGCGGCACAGCCTGCCTGCTTCTGTCCTTGCAGCGCAATACATGGCACCAGACAAGCTGTCCCAGGATGCCAAACTCATTTCCTTGCCTAAGTGTATAGAGCTAACGCTTATTCAGCCTCAGAAGACTGAAGTTCATGAACATTATATAAGTGGTTGAAGAGCAGTCCCACAGAAGGGCATCTTTACTGTATGCAGGTTTGGGAACCACCATATAAGAAGGACATAAAATGATTAGTGTGTCCAAAGGACTGCTACTAAGGTGCGGAAGGATCTAGAGGACAAGATGTACAAGGAACAGCTGAGGTCTCTGGGTTTGCTCAGCCCAGATCATTGGAGCTGAGGGGAGGCTTCATGGTGGCCTGCAGCTCCTGACCTGGAGTGGATGGGCAGCGCTGAGCTCTGCTCTCTGTGGCAGCAACAGGGCCCAAGGAACAGCATGGAGCTGTGTCAGGGGAAGGGCACTGAAGGTTAGGGACGGGTTCTGCACCAGACAGTGGTGGACATGGAACGGGCTGCCCAGAACAGCAGTCTAGGCACTGATCTGCTGGAGTTTAAGGAATATTTAGACAGTGCTCTCAGATATAGAGTTTGAATTTTCGGTGGTACTGTGCGGAGCTGGGAGTTGTACTCAGTGACCCTTGTATGTCCCTTAAAGCTTGTGATATTCTGTGATTCTGTGACTCTCAACACAGCTGAAATGATGAACTAAGTATTCCCTAAGAGATATCTCTGAAACATGATAAGAAGAGAAAATAGCTTTTTTTAAATTCAAGCCCTGTCAGGATATAAAGGGAAAAAAAAAAGGGAAAAGAACTAAATAAAGTTCTAAAAAGATATTCTTGAAACTTGACTTCTTAGGTTAAACTTTCCCTTTTTCACTTGGAAATAATATACTTCTTTTGATACTAGGATATCCATTTTCCTTGATACAAAAGGCTGTTTCTTTAATCGCTTTGCTGCATTTTTTCAGTCTTTCTATAGAGGTGGATAAATGGATATGTATTTCATACGCTTGGGTTAATCCTCAAACACTGCATTGTTGTCCTTTTAATATAGAATGTACTAGTGTAACTTGTTCCTGTAATAGTTCAAATAGTTATTTTTTTTTTAACAGGCATTGCTGAAAGATCCTTTGTATATTGGGCTGAGACATAAGAGAATCAGAGGTCAAGCCTATGATGATCTTCTTGATGAATTCATGGAAGCTGTGACTTCAAGGTATGTGATGTATTTGTGCTGTTCATTGGTGAATTCCATTGTGAACTTCATCTTGGAAGAAATAAATGTCCTTAACTATGTAAGGAAGAAAGAGTAATGAGATCAGAGTTGCTATGTTTCTGATTTTTTTTTTTTTTTTTGGAGCATTATATTTTATAAGATGACAAACTGTCTCTAACTTGCCTTCAGTAATGTCATTTTATGAATTCACTGCATGAGTGGAAAAACTCATCTTGAGATAAGTGAATTAACTTTTCAAACTATTTTTTTGCAGTTCTGACTTCATAAGGCATCAGCATCATACTAGGAATATGCTGTTTTTACAGCCTGCTTGCCATCATGTTTAAATCTCTCTTCTCCTCAGGTTTTAAGGTTGCATGCACTTTGCACTGAATCCTTCTCTATTAAAAACAAGAATAACAACAACAAAACAGGAAAAGGAAAATAGTCACCCTAGTTTCTGTCCAAACCCAAACAAACACAAGACCGATCTTCTAAAGTCTTGTTTTTAAATGTCATGTTACAGACCTATTCCAAATCAGCTCTTTCTCTTGTTTCCTTCTCTACTGTTCATAAAGTAGTTAGATTTATTATTAGAATATATGGAATAGTATGTTCTATGTCAAATGACACACTTGCTTACATTTTCCTTTGTCATTAAAACATTTGGAGTTCTCGAGTTCTCATTCTGCATTCAGTGTGTGTACATTAAATAGTCTAAGTACCAGAATCCTTATCAGAACATGCTCCCCTCTGCTGTAAATCGTAAAGCCAGGACTGAGCTGTGGGACCAGGAAATACTTTCCAGCTCCTCAGTCTCAATTTGTGTCCCAGACATGTTTTGAATCCATGCTGGGACCTCACCTGGATGTGCACAACCTCTGTTCTCCCTGCCCTGGATCCTGTGTAAAATAAACTAGGGCAAGAGAGTAGTCTTAATTCCCGTACTTGAGGCACAGGTTCCTCTACATTACCCATTACCCCCTCTTGGCTGAGAGTCCCTTGTTCTTAATCTTCCTACAGTTCCTTTTGAGTATTCTCTTTCAGGTAAAACTGATGCATTTCTATCTCCATAATAGAAGATTTGGAACATTAGAAGTTGCTCTATGGACAAAGTTTTGAAAATTTCTAATTTAAAGCATTCACTAATTCAGCCTTTCTTTAAAACTGAACCATAGCTAATTTTAGATCATTTTAATCATATACTGAAGAAAATTATCAAGGTCAAGCAGAATACTATTTCAGTAATGTTTGATGGTCTGGTTGATTTGTTCTCCCGTTCTTTTTACTTGAAAATCTTTATAAACAGTAATTTTGAGTAATTTTTAGCAATTGATGTTAACTTGACCTTCTGAAAGATCACTCTGTTCTCAGCTGCTATGGTCTACAACATTGTCCTTTATTTCATGTTTGAAGTGGAGAACTTAACATTCAAAGTTGTTAGCTGTTTTGGCTGTAATGTGACATCCAGTTATGATACTCACTTGCTAAGATGAAGAGAGAAGTGATGTAGCTAAGACAGTCAGGACCATTTGTTCAATAATTTAATATACTCTACATTAAAACTTATATTGAGGTGAGGTTTTAGCAGCTCTGTTGGGAACATGTGGAAGTAGGCAGCTGTACAGGATGGTACATTTTGTATAGGCTTCTCTCATTGCCTTCCAAGAAATCTTTCTAGACATGTGTATCATATTGGCTGATTGTTAAATTTTGAAAATCTAGATTGTTATCAGCTGGTTCAGCATCATTTATAGTGTATACTTTTGGAATGCTACTTTTATAGAGTAAATGTTATGGTGCGCTTTACAAAAAAGCCTGTCATGTGAAGGTATAATTTCATCAACTGGAATATTTTCCCTTTCACAGCCTTCACTGCTATTCACTCCAAAAGACTTTTCTTGTAAATCAAAATCATTTTTGAATGAGTCTTTATTTTTTTTAATAAAAGCACACAGAGAAAGACTTAAAACATCCACTAATAGAAGGTTTTGGTACAGTATCCACTGTGTTATCATAGCAGAATGAAACTAGTACAGTGTGATTTTTCCCAGATGTGAGTAGGCATAAGCATATGGAAAGTATATGGATTTCTTCTGGCATAAAGTCAGCAAACAGCTTTTATTTATTTGCCTATGTCTGTATCTGTCTGTTTATTTGTTACTGTTGCCAGCAGCTGCCTTTGCTGTGGACAGGTGCTGTAATTTCTGTGGACATTACCCAGTTTTTCTTGCTTTTGTCTTTGCACAGCGATTTGAGGGTATGAGGATATACTAAATGGAAGGAATGTCTTATAATATGGGAAGTAAAAAAGAAATATCTTCAGCACCGAGTAGCACAAATCAAAATTAAAACCTGTTCATAACGATTTGCTGTATTTTACCCTATGGAGATGTGGGTGATAAAACATTTTATACAGTAGCAAATTTTTCCAGATGATAAATTGTTCTTAAATATCTGCGTTTACAGAGGAAACTCTGAGAGGAGGGATTGCTGAATAGGGCTCTGGTAGCTGGGGTTGATCCACCAAGACTTCTTATAAAACTAGAAGAAGAAACTCAATTTTTTTATTCCAGTTTCCATTTCTTTCCTACTTGCTTGCTATAATGTATTCATTTACAGCAGTGAAGGGATTTTGGAAGCACTTAAAGGGAAAATATGTAGACTAGAGATAGAACAAGAAATGAGGGGAGAAGAAAAAAACAGCCTTTTATTAACAGGAACATTACTTGTCTGATGTAAAAAGTGGATTTTTTCCTTTTTCTGAAGGAAAAAAGGAAATTTGCTTCCTTTTAGCAAATCTGGTAAAGATAACTCCAGCTTGAACGCCTCTGAAGAAGACCAGAGTAGGGAAGAATAGCATGCTATCAGCTTGCTTTCTGCTGCAGTTACTGTGCACTGGGGAAGGAACTGTGCACTGCCCAGAGAGACAAGGCTGACTTGTACTAGTGGTCTGTGAACAGTGAGTAAACTTATAGAAAATGAAAAGTAATCTCATGTAACTCTGGAAGGTAATACCGCAGTCCCAAAGAGTTGTGCAGAATTTTTTTTTCTGGTATAAGATAAAATTTGTGAGTTTATGATGTGGAAAAGCAACCCTATATCACTGAAATTGTCTTCTGTAGGCATGATGTTTTTTGTTTTTGTGCGCTTTTCTGTTTCAGTTCAAGGTGCAATAGTAGTGAACCTTAGAGAAGTAATCTCACGTACCATTTATGTTCCGATCTGTAATTACATTTTAATTAAACCCTTCCCCATTACTTTTATATGCTGTCCTTTTCTTAAGCTTGTGGTGCACAAAACAAGCTGCTGACAATTATAATTCAGTATGTTCTGTCCTAAATAATCATGATGTAGTCATTATTACTCATTTGCCTGATTATATTATTCACAGATGGTAATAGTGCCTCATTTCACATCATGTGTTACTTTAAAACGCTGCATTATGGCAAGTAAGGCTTATCTGACTTTGAAAACAACTGTAAGATTTATCAATCATAAAAAGAAAATTACACAAATACTTAGGTCACTCCAAAAATAATGTCTCCTGCTTAAATCCACGGAAACTGCAACAGATCAAAAAGCACAATAACACTGTTTGATAGAGCAAATTCTCAGCTACAAAACAGTTTTTCAACATAGTCACCATCACTAGCTGTGCATTTTTGCCAGAAATGAACAAGAGCCTGCATGACACACTCCTCAAAATCTTTATAGCCACCTGAAACATCTTTTCAGTGGCTCTTGCCACTGCTGAAACACACCACGCACCACCTCACTGTGGTCACATCCACTGTTTGGTCTCCATCAGAGTTCTGCAAGCATCGACAAATATCAGTGGATGCTAATTTTTTCCACACAGAGGAATTCAGTGACACACCTTTGCTTCATCTGCACTTCCATGTCAGATGCCATGTAGTCAGACTGCCCCTCTGCTGCCGACTGTCACACAACAACAAAATGTACCACAGCGTTGACGACAATATTCAACCTCTACTTCCATACCACCAAAATCTGCCTGTGATTCATGGGCCAGAATAATAAAATAGGAAGCATTACTTTTGAAGCACTGCTCATACTTCAGTTTTTATTTAGTAGATGACATTGGAATGGAATTAAATCTGTAAATTATTAATTCAAAATGGACATAACTTCTTGCAAGGCAACGTACTGTCAAGAAATCAATACAAAAGGTGATTATAGCTGTGCATCGTTATGGAATTTGTTGCACAACACATTGTTGCTAACAATGTATTCATGCACAGGTTGTTAGTAGAAGGACATTGGCACTTCTGTCCTCTAGTGCATCGTGATACTGAAAGACTTAGACTTGCATTGTGCCTCTGTATTCCTGCATTGTTCAAGTTGAAGTGACTGTTAGGAGCACAGAAAAAAATACTGCTGCAACAACTCCCTCCTATGGCAGTCTTAATGAAAGTATTTCTGTTTACAGATTTTTTCCCTTAGTGGGGAGTTGTTGTTAGCTGCTTTATAGCCCTCTTCCCTTCCCTTTGTGCTAGTTCATTTGGTGGTGCAGTTCTCCAGGTTGGCTGGCTGGGTGGTAATTTTCTGACACTCCAAAACTAAATGAACCCAATGTGATCTTCTGCAGTGAGAAGTGAGAAGTCTGTTTCCTCTTTTTTTTTTTTTTTTTTAATTTTTTTAAAATCCCAGTTTAAATCTATTTATGCCTTTACCACAATCTATATCTAATATTTGTGTCCAACTTTCTTTAATGTCAATATAAACCATGAAATTTTGCCCTCTCTCTTCTTTCTGGACTTAGAAGTGCTGAAATCTTCAATTCATGATACTAGCTTATCTACCTTCACATTTTTCTTTAAGACTCATTAACTTTCGTTAACTAGAAGCTGAAAACAGATTGCATGCGTTGCTGGATTGATCACTGCTAGATAACCAAGAAAATGTCTATATCTTACTTTCAACATCATGTTTTCTATCCATCCTTTTCAATAACTTTTGTTTCTAGCACATGGGTC